TATGCCTCTTGGCACCCAGATCCACATGCTGCAATAGTGGATGCTTTCAGTGTATCATGGGCGAATGAATATTTTTATGCTTTCCCTCCTTTTAGTCTCATTCCGAAATGTCTGGAGAAAATCTCTCGAGACCAAGCCGAAGGGGTTTTACTGGTCCCTGCATGACCCACACAAACATGGTACCCTCTTCTTCTACAGATGCTCATTCAGCAGCCAAAGCTGTTGTTGTGGACCCCTCAAGTGGAGTTATTGAGACACCCATTAGGCAAGGTTCACAGCATGCAAGGAAAACTGAAGTTGATGGCATGTCCCTTGTCCGGCAACATTATCAGAACCAGGGCTTTTCTGACCACATTACCGGTGTACTCCTCGATTCATGGCGAATTTCTACACAAAAACAGTATGCGAGTTATCTTAAAAAATGGAATTTATTCTGTCGTGAACGGAAAATTCTTGCACATTCCCCTACTTTAAATCAAGTTTTGGAATTCTTGTACACACAATTGCATTTATCATATTCTAGTATTAACAGTGCCAGATCAGCGTTATCATGTTTTCTTTCTATTGGCAATTTTCCAGTGGGGAAGCACCCAATAGTTTGTCGTTTCCTAAAAGGGGCATTTGAACGGAAACCACCTGCTAATAAGCATCATGCTATCTGGGATGTCCACACAGTTTTGGCTTATCTGAAAACGTTCACCCCTAACAGTGGTTTAAGTCTTAAAGAGCTTAGTCACAAATTAACAATGTTATTGGCTTTGGTGACTATTCAGCGGAAGCAAACTTTAATACACCTCAATATTAATAATGGCTGCATGATACAATCAGATGTTCAATTTGTGTTTGTTCTTGATAAGCATATCAAACAAAGCAGACCAAATTATTCAGTTCCACCTGTTATTGTTCCTAGATACAATTTGGATCCTGATGTTTGCCCATATTTATGTTTAGAAGCGTATCTTGAGAAGACTAAACATTTACGACAAAGTGTCAATTTACTCGTTGCAACGATAAAGCCGCATCGTGCTATTGGATCTCAAACTTTAGCTCGATGGATTAAAATTGTCTTAACCGGTGCTGGTATTGACATTACTTTATTCAAACCACATTCTACACGACACGCGGCTGCAACAGCAGCCTATGCAGCAGATCTTCCAGTAAATGAAATTCTGCAAAGAGCAGGTTGGAGTAATGCTACCACATTTAGGCGCTTCTATTACAAAGGGGTTATTGAGTAGATATTACACTTATCGTACGTCATATTTATTAGAATGTTGTGTTTAAGTGGTTGGATAGTGTGTATAAGGGAAACTTATTTATTTATTTCTAAACATTCAGATTAAACTTATTTGCATAAGTTTGTACTCACAGCGACCTCCATGCTTTGAAGACTTCATGTCAGTCCGTAGGTTACGACTTATGGGATAGAATTTAGAAGTTAAACGAAACTTACCTGGAAGTTGAAGTTTGACTGGAATTCTATCCCATAAGATTAGTAACCAAGGACTGACAAGCCCACCCGCCCACTCCTACTGGGTTGTCAGTCTGATGATACTGCTTGTTGGTTCTATTTATGCTTGGTCACTGTGCGTTGCTTTCAAATAATGATGTGATGTCACTCCCGGTGAGCCTGCGTTCGTTCTTCTTGTCAGTCCTTGGTTACTAATCTTATGGGATAGAATTCCAGTCAAACTTCAACTTCCAGGTAAGTTTCGTTTAACTTCTATATCATATATATGTCAATGATCCATACTCATAGAATTTTGACAGTTTTTCAAAACTTTATTGTATATAAAATCACATGAAGCAAATTTTTGTCAATTGTTTATATTTATAATGCATGGACTACATTTGGATTTGCCAACGTCAACTGTTGAGACTTGAGTAATATACATAAACTATTTAAGGAACATAAATTATTGCAGCAAACAGGTCAATCATACACATTCAAACTTTTTGGTCGTATAATAGTAGCAATACCATACATATTAAAAAACTTTTGCTGGAAATATATCGCCGTGGCTATTCGTACTGGGGGACAGTACGCCGAGTTTGATTTGCTATTCGTACTGCAGTCGTAATATTTAAGATAAACATGACCCCAACCCCAACCCCTTCTCTAACCCTAACCAATAAAGGTCTAATAAACTATTTGAGAGTTAAAAAGTGGGGGGGAAAAAATTAAAAATATTCTAAGAAAAATTTCTAAGTTAACAGACAACCGACGACTAAAACTAAACGCAGACCCGACCTCGTTTCACTTTGCACGCACGCAGCGCCTCTGCCGATTGCGCTAGCGGCAAGCTCGCTAAAATCTGTTGCAAAAACTATTTTATATTGCTAGTTTACGTAATGTAAGAATCGGGTGCTATATTGTAAGAATCGGGTGCCATATTCCAGTACGAATAGCCACTTCGTTATATTTTATACATCGTAGAAATTGCATTCATGTTTAAACACTAGTAGCAAATATTGTTTACACATTAGTACATTGAAAATTGTTGATTATGATTCTTTAATTCTTACCTTAAAACAAAAACACTTCAAACACAGTTCAAGACGACAAGAGTAAAAATATATAAAGTACTCCTCGAAATTAGCTCGAAGATTTTCGCGTACCGCCATGTTGATTTAGCCTGCAAACAGGCTGCTGCGATTCTACGGTTTTGTCACTGATCTATATGTTCTACACTGAATAGTCATTTCCGCATAGTGCGCTGATTGGCTAGGGACGGTCACAAGCTAAAATACTAGACACTGATTGGCTGCAAGCTAACAGCTAACAGCTAACAGATTTCGCAAACTCGATAGCATAGTATATCTGCTGCGCAGATACAAAAACCGGTCTTGGTCACATTACAGGACAACTACTCTACGACGTACTTTTATAATTTTTATTAAAACAACGGAAAATTATAAACTTTAGTGGCTTTTTTACACGTCAGCCATCTTGGGTCCTCTACGAATAATTTTTTCACCCCCCGCAGAGCTACACAGCTCCCCCTAGCGTTATAGTTTCAAAACTAAAGATTTGTGACAATGGAGCGAATCAAGGTAAATTAATCTTGGAAATACGTGTCTGTTTTGTTGTAGCTTGCTTGCTGTACACTTTTCAGCGATTTACGAAATAGTACGTATTGGTTTTCGAAGCGTCTACCATGTTTCCTATTTGGAGTCATCTGGACACTTAACAGGCATTTGAATCCGTTTTGGCGCTTGAATGAAGGCGAAATTTGGTAAAATATGAGCTACAGAATTATTTGCCTCTCCAACTAGATTGGATAAAATAAAAACTAAACAAAACAAATGTCTTCGTGCAATTTTTTCTCAAGAACAAACGAAAATGCAACGGCCTATTTTCAACTTTCTTTAACCTGAAAATATCATCTCTTGTTAATAAAATAATAATTAGGAAAACAAATGTTCCTAAAGCCTTAATAAATTTAACTATGGAAGCATCTGATGTTCATAGTTATAACACCAGATATGCCTCCAAACATGAACCTATACAGACCAGCTTCTAGAACAAATTGTGGGTTAACCAGATTCAAAAGAAAAGCTTCCAAAATATGGGAAAAAATCCTAACAAGTTAAATCATTGCCATTTTGTAGTTTCAAAAAACAGTATAAAATGTTTCTCTTCTTTAATAATCAAGTAGAATAGCATGACAGATTTGACTAGACTTAATATATGCTATTAAAAAATGATATTATAGCTAGTAATCATAAATATAAAAAAAGTTTTGTAAATTATACTATACACTCAGAAACCCTAATACTAAATACTATATAGTATAGAGATCAACTTTTTGTTTTGTTTTAAATACTCAAATATAATTTCATAATGGTAGTAGTCAACTCGAAAGCTTCTGCTCCTTTGACCACTACGCATCATCTGTAAATACATATTATGGAATATTAATGTAAATATATATAGTATACTTATAGTAATATTACATAATCTTGTAAGAAAGAAATAAATGCAAATAAACTAACTGATTCTGATTCTTAAAGTTTCAAGTAAAATTGGCCCATTAAATGTTTTAAATATTAGCCGAATTTATATTAGGGACGGGAAACTCGTCTTAGTACATAAATACACAGCGTATATTAATATGGTTCGGCTCACCGCACACTTAATATGATCCGATATGAAGTCTGCGCTCATATCGAATAGTTATTTCACTCAATGTAGACACAATAAAAGTGCAACAGTGATGTATTTATACGTGATTCTTCTTCACGTTGAACTATATATTGTACTTATACTGCCTCTGTTTCAACATATCATTTACGAACAATTGAAAATACTTTATTAGTCAATTGTATATTGATATGTTTTATAGCTAATATCTTGTTTCACGGCAGGGGAATTAGCTTTATACAGGTCAGTGGGCAGGAGGCTCTATTATTATGGCGTGTACGAATTCGGCACGCAAAAAACGCGTTCGGATTGTACACGCATAAGACACAGTTACTGTGGGTTTTTACTACGATGGATTTGTTAAGTGTGCAACTAAGTACCGTCCTACAATTAGAATTGTAAATATTTTAATCTGGAATAATCTGGTATATCAATGACCTGTTTATGCACGCATATATTATTTTCTGATTATGTTCTAGACTTAGCTAGTGCTTGGCGGCCATTCACTTTTTAAAGTTGTCGATCGAGTACTAGGTAGGGTGGAGCAACGATATGATTTATTGCTATTCGTAGATTCATGTACGCGTAGCGTATTTATTTTTGGAGTTGTGAATATTAATGATGTGATTTAAGTCGATGGTATTTGCCTCTCGAATCATTATGTTGGTGTACCAGAGTAAGAAATTAAATACGATTTTTTGTCTAGTCCACTATAATTTCATGTTCGCCGATTTTTGGCTTGTTTGCTCTCTATTTAACCCCCAGAGCGTACAATTTGTATAGGTAATAGCATGGTTTCGAGTGCAATTTGGATATATAAACATGCAAGAGTGAGTTTTTCAAAGACCTCAAAATAGCACGAGTCCGAAGGACGAGTGCTATTTGAGGTCTTTGAAAAATTCACGAGTGCATGTTTATCCAACGAGAAACCATGGTTTCTCGTGAAATTTGGATAAACATGCCCTTTGGATAAACATGCTATTACTTATTAAGGTGGACTCCAATGAGCTGGTTTCTGCACTTCACTTGGAAATATTAGAATGCTGTTTTTAGGTTTTGTAATCCAAGCGAGTATATATACATTTTAAGACCTAACCAGGAACGACTGCGAAAAATGCAGCACAAGGTCCTCTGGTAGGAATTGAACTTGCACCCTGCGATTCCGGTGCAGCGCTCTAACCAACTGAGCTACAGAGGCCAGCTGTTGAGCTGTAACCGTAAGTTCATGTATATATATAGGTGATTGGGTGTACGGGTTGTGATAAGGTGGACTCCAATGATCCACTTCACTTGGTAATTTACATAAAAATGTTCGAGACAATTGCGGTTTTAACTTATGTTTATGCGTGAATCAAATCGAAACCTTGACACACACCCCCGGGCATACCCCCGGGAATTTGGATTTTGACGTTTTGGTCAGGTCACGCTCTATTAACCGTGGTCAGGTCAAATTCCCTACATATATTTGTAATTCCCGTTCAAATATTGTGAAAAATTGGAGTTCAAATACCCCACCCCATATACGACTAGAAGCTACAGCATTTCGTAATTTTGGAATTACAAAGTGTTTTTTTCCCTTCAGAAACTCTCTTCAATCGTTCAAAGCCATTTTCTTGCATGTAGCCAACCAAGGACAAAGTTAATTTCTTCGCACTTGAACTCATCCATTGTCACTGACGCCATTTTGGATTCAGCACACGTGTTTAAAAGAAAAATTCAAATTCCCGACCCCCTAAGGCTATTAAGCAAGCTTCCACTAGAAAAAAGGTCAAATTCCCGCCTTCTTCAAATACTAAACAAGCAAATTCCCCAGGTATGCCCGGGGGGGGGGGAGGATGTCAAGGTTTCGATTTGATTCGCGCATTATAGCGAACATTTCACTGGCAAAGTTTTCCTGGCTTTGTTATATCGCATTATACAACGCTAACAGCTTGAAAATTCCACTCAACAGTGTACGTTTTGTTAGTCTTGTTTAAGGTAAAGGCTTTTCCATTTAAAAATAAATCTGTGACCGTTACTTCTTAAACTAAACTGCTTAAAACTGATTGGTTGATTTTATCATCACAATGTTTTTCCACCAATCAGATCAGTTTCAGGTTACAAATTTTTGCACTGTTGTTACAGATTTTTGCACTATTACAGATTTTTGCACTATTGTTACAGATTTTTGCACTGTTGTTACAGATTTTTGCACTATTGTTACAGATTTTTGCACTGTTGTTACAGATTTTTGCACTATTGTTACAGATTTTTGCACTGTTGTTACAGATTTTTGCACTGCTGTTTGTTATTAACTGCATTGAAATCAACCAATCACAGTCGAGTAATATTTTTATGTATATTATTATAACTGTTAAATCGATTGAGAGCGTACATTTAAAAATGTTAAATCTCAGGAATGATGAAAATGGGCTTTAATCAACATTTTGAAAAACGTATAAGTTATAACACCCTGCTCTTTTAACTAATTAGTGCACATGACATGAATTTTTTGCCTTAATTTTACTGCTTTACTAGAAAGTACCCTTCAAGTGGTGAAGAATGGTGGTTACAGTTTTTTTCATATCTCATCTCAACCCAGAGTTATTACACTTTTTGTAATTTGAGCTATGACGTCATAGGCTGTGCTAAAAGTTGCAAGAAAAACTTAAAGTGGAATATCTCCAAGATGATTTGAGCAAACGAAATGACACGTTGCACAGTTGTTGAGTGCAGTCACACATACATTTTGGTATATATGTTTATGTGGTTGTCAAGGCAATGCCCTAGTTTCCAGTCCCCTTTCTTGCATAAACTTAGTTTTATATTTCCAACAACACAAGTGGCTATTTCTGTTGTTTTCATCGCTTATGTTCTTTATGGGAACATTTTAGTACTTGTCAACTAAAAACTGTGAAACAGGCGCTTTTCTTAGCCAGTATACAGTAGGAACCGTGTGACTTGATGCACAGAAACTGGGTGCTAGTGCGCTGCCTTGACAACTACACAAATTGAGCTATCGAGCAATGCCCGCAATGGGGTTTGGTAGTGAGTCTTATCCATAGATATTTTATATGCACTAGATAGTGCATCTAATTATTCTGCAATTCAAAAATTGAAGCCGTGATTGCAGTCTCAGGTCGTTCCCATGAAATTAGAAGATTCGTATGTTTCCTATTTCTTAAACAGGGAACTTAAACATTAAGTTAACCCTATTCCAAATTCGTTTTTAAAATATTCAAATGATGAAAGTTATTGTTGTTTTTAAGCGTTTATTAGCAAGTGGGAACGACCAACATGACCACCATCTATTCAAATGGGGGTAACCGCTGGAATATTCTTGGCTTCAATTTTACTAAAAGAGATGCGCTATCTAGTGTATATAAGATATCTATGGTCTTATCTCAAGCTGTCAAGATCGGAGACAAAATACGTGTGACTGTGCAAAGTTTCATTTCATTTGCTCAAATTCTCTTGAAGATATTCCACTTTCAGTTTTTCTTGCAAACTTTAGCACAACTTATGACGTCATAGCTCAAATTGAAAAAAAGTATAATAACTCTGGATTGAGATAAGATATGAGAAAACTGTAACCAGCATTCTTCATCATTTGATGGGTATTTTCTAGAAAAGCAATAAAATTAAGGCAAAAAATTCATGTCATGTGCACTTTAATTAATAATGTCGATGCTAATTAATTATTTAAGATTATATTCTTATTTGTAGTTTTACGAAATTTCTTACCTTCGCAGTTTTTTCCATTTCCAGTATAACCTTCATTACAAGTACATTTATATTGGGCTGGACCAGTATTTGCGCACGTGGCGTGCTCGTGACAGTCGTCGCGTTCTGTGCCACATATATTCTCCACTAACAAGAGAGTGCAATTATACTGTAGCTTCTTTACTTTAGTACATACTTCTTTACTTGAAATATTAATAAATGTAATTAACGCGTGCAAGCACTGAACTTATTGTCTCCAGTACACACGTAAAAACGCACAAGTTGTTACAAGTCTGCAAACAAGTTGTTACAAATCTGTTCACAAGCTGTCAACAAGTTGTCTTCGCACTGCGTGTTCCCAGTTGTTGTAACAAGTTTGGAACAAGCTGTTAACAACTTGTAACAAGCTCGATGGCATTATCAGACTTGTCACAAGGTTGTTGTAACAAGTGTGATACAGTCATAAACAAGAATGTTACATTGGTTGACGATTCATGCAAGGTTGCAACAATACTGCTCATATATCATGACTGTATCGGACTTGTTGGAACAACCTTGTACCAAGCCTGAGAATATCAGCAAGGTTGTTACAAATTGTTAACAGCTTGTTCCAAACTTGTTGACAAACTTATTACAAGATGTGAGATTTGTGCGTGTGTACGCAGTCACCTTTCTAAGGTTATTTTGAACGCTTTGTAGTTAATTCTGAAAAAAGTGATGTATTTCAGTGGTTGCATGAGATTTTGTAAATGCTGTCAATGGGATTGTTGTATGTGAACGGTGAACACAACTACAACTGGCACCCTTCACTTTCATTTCCCATGTCTTGGAACTGAAATATTTTTACAGGAACTAACACTTTCGAACACGCTGAGTTCAAATCCGAAAGTTCCCGCTCCGTAGACCCGCAGTTTTCTCAGAAACTGCTATTTTATCTTCACTAATTTCACGACAAATGTTTTCATTGTTCAAGGACAATTGTTCAAGGACAATTGTTCAAGGACCAATTTCTATTAACCAGTCTTCCTTTTAACAAGAGATCGTTTTGCTCGAACCATTTTAAATTATTTAATTTTATGCGTGTTGTGCGTAAACAACATATCTCGTTTACAACTTTGAGAAGGTACAGATAAGGGACTGGTCATAAAGTAACTGCTAGGATGGGCTGGAGGTAAATCACAAATTTTGCCAATAAGTTTGGTGACCCATCTTAGGATGTAGATAAAAATTTCAAAGCCCATCCAATCTTACCAAATTTATTTCATGACCCACCCACCCACCCAATCTAAATTGGGAAAATACACTTCTATAATGAAAAAAACTTGCAGGTATGAACATATATCAATACAGTGCCGGTGTATATCTTTATTTTTGTATCTGCGAAGCAGATTAGTATTAACGTTACCCACAGCCATTCAGCGACGAGCTTATATAATTAAGCCAATCAGCGATTAGCTTACATCAATTGTTTACATCGTGCTCGCACCTAACCTGCGAACGGGCGTAGTTTGGCCTCGTGTAAGTCATGTACTCGTGTTATTCTTTGCCATATTTTGGCTTCAAAATATCTTGATTTTATCTTGAATTGGCTGTCTTGTTTTCACCATGCTACTTGTGATATTATTCCAAAGTTATCCATCAACATAGAAACTTATCCTTATCTGATAAGTAGCCAAATACCACATATTTTATTATATACATTTATACAGTATAAAAACAATCATTGTGTATAAATACTTTAAACAGTCAAAACTCTGGCTGCAGGCATTATATTGCCAATTAACAATATCACAAGAAACTAATGTTCTCAGGAGATATTGAATTAAATCCTGGTCCTGTATTTCTGTAACTCTGTTCAAACATACAACAGTCCCAGCCTAGTCCCTGGCCTTCCAAGCGCGGGCGAGTTACAGGCTGTTGTGAACTTGCGGGCTGTCAGTTTCGGAAAATATCCGAACTGGGTCGCGCCTCGCCTCTCCCCAGTATCCAAATAATACAGCTTTATCCCGGTCAACCTGCAAACCTTAGCGATTTCCCCCTAAAATAACGAGGCGGAAGCGAGAAGGCCAGGAACTAGGCTGCAACAGTCCAACTAAGTTGTCATCAAATGTAGTGTTAGAGCAAAGGTAATTAGGTAAAGATGTCATCAGTTAAAATTATACTTATACATTTTGGCTTTACACAATAGAGTTAATTAAACAAAATTGTTACAACCATTTTCAAATGCTAATAAAAGAATCCCCACCCTCCCTCCTCATTACATTGTCATTTTGCTTTCTAATATAAATGTTTTTGTTTAGAGATTAATACAAGAATGATGAATACATGTACTGATGTACTGGATATTGGCTGGATAATTTTGTCAGAACAACCCACTTGCAAGACAATCTTACCTAAATTCATTAGTATGGAAAATAACTAATTATAACTTAACAGCTACAATAATCATATATTATATGGATGGATCAGATCAATGGCACACAATGTACAAAACTAAACTTGTGATATACCTTCTACTCAAACAGATATTCTCCCATAACACAAATTGTTTTTGTGTGGATATGCTGAGTTAAACCGAACAGTGTGGTATATCATTAACTCTGCACAGGGTTGGAATTGAATTACATACTTCACTCATGACCTTCAAAACATTCTCTACTATTCAGTGCATGGTCTTCGATATATGATTGACTCTTTGCTACAGTAATGCATGTTCCTTGAATAGTTTGTATGTTACTCAACAGTTAACATTGGCAAGTGTAAACAACAAGTGGCAGAACTTTTGCTTCATATGATCACAATAAAGTTTTGAAAATTCGATGAGTATGGATTGACAAGTGACAGTTTACTAAATAGCCGGCTGTATAGACACTTTGAATATTGCTTGCATGAAATTTTTATTTCCTGACTGCATAATTTCCGTTACAAGCATAATCACATTATAAAATTAGTTAAATTTTAGGGGGGGGGGCAGTTCTCCCTGCTGCCCTCTGTGCAGTGTACAGTCCTGTTAGATTTGTATTATGTTTGATTTTAAAATCTTATTTGCTATTATATTTATCATAATAAGTGATGAAAGCAGGGAAGCTTGTAAAAGATAGGGGGGCCGACTCCCACAAGGTGACACCATGGTTGGCGCTGAGGCCCCCCTGGCTTCCTACGCCCCTGGATGAAAGTAGACATGGGTTTTTGTTTGGTGGCCCAACCGTAGACATACAAAATAATTGGCGGCCCATCGAAACTGCCCAAAGATTTTCCATGGCCCATCGCAAATCACTCCAGCCCACCCTAGCAGTTACTTTATGACCGGTCCCTAACGCTTTCTAAAATCCTCAGTTCTAGCGATATCTTTAAAAAATCAGAAGGACGCTAATGCTTTTGGCTATGTCACTGGCCTGAAAAATAACTCTTTTAAGGTGGCTCGATATAGTTATCACAAAAACTCTGCTCAAGAATCGCGAACTCAAAACCGGGTGACCATTTTTACGCGCACAAGTCGCGCAGGTCGCGGAAACTGATTAACAAAATGAAAGAACTTCCAAAATGACCTGACGTGAGCCGTTGCTCGCGCCATATCACGCCATTGCGCGTGTTCTATACATAGGTTCTATAGCGTTTTATGTCAATTGCTGACGTCATTAGAATTTTCCATTTTAGAAAAACAATGCGCTATATCTCTTTATTTTGTCTGGTGACTTATGTTCAAATTTTGCATGCTGTATTGCACTGCTAAAAACTTTCATTATACAAAAAATAAAAAAATTCTGTAATGCCAAAAAAATTTTACCGAAGAATACGACATTTTCGCATTTTCCAAAAAAATGGCATTACAGAATTTTTTTATATTTTGCTAATTGTTAGCTTTTCGTCCAAGTAAAATAATGCACGAAAAAAAATTGGGGGTCACCATGCTTTTTTTCCAACTATACGAGACGATAGGTCATTTTGGAGTGAATTTCGTACACGTATGTCGTCATAGCAACGAACTATCTGTTACTAAAACTAATATCGTTTGAAAGTAGAGTTATCAAAATATATAAAAAACCCAATATCTGCTGAATAAATCCTAAAAATGCGTAGTTTGAACATGTCAAAGTGTTAAACACCTGAATTTTTGAAAACTGTATCGAGCCACCTTATTAACGCGATCAAAGTATTTAAAACAAACGTAACGGGAAGCCAACGTAACGGCAAAGACAACGCTAAAATGAAATACTGTCAATGGGTTGCTGGTAGAAAACTTACGACAGGATCAATCTTAAATAACCTTAAACTAGAAGAATAAATATGCACATCAAAGACAAAGATCAGTGCCAAAGTATACAATTTGCTCTGTAAACTTACGGAGAAATGTGTGCATGAGCTGTTTATTTGGTGATTTCAACGTATATGGAAGCCCTCTTTCCAATAATATTCGCTAATCGCACAGAATAACACCAACTGATATAATAGTTCAAATGCAACGACAAGTTACCTCTTGGATTACGTCTCAGAAACTGTGTTGGAAATTTAAATGATGACCCATTACGACCTATTGCATAAGAATACCGTTTTACATCGTTGTATAAAACGTTCTGATTGCATGTAAGGAATTATTTCTCAGCCCAGAAACATAGCCCAAAGACTTGACATTAACGTCCTTGTGATTTTATGGAGATAGAGCCAAAACTGAGGATTTTAGAAAGCCTTATCTGTACCTGCTCAAAGTTGTAGACAAGATATGTCGTTTATGTCCAACACGCATAAGATTACATAACTCAAAATGATTCGAACAAAACAGTATTTTGTTAAAAGGAAGACTGGTTAATAAAAACTGGTCCTTTTGAGTGACATAATCGTTTGTCGTCATCGATCCGTGTCATTGAACAATGAAAAAATTTGTTGTTTTGAAGGCGGCCATATTCAGGTTAAAGGTAATTGAGATCGTCCCCTTTTTCTCACCCACCGCCCCCCTAATGTAATTAATGTCTGGTCTCGAAGGATTGTTTGGAGATCATTCTTTCACGCGGAAAAGGGCGGCACGAAATGGATGAGTTCGGCATCCATCCACGTTTTTGCGCAAACAATGCATGTTGGATAATATGCGCATCCAGACAGATCTAATTGTCTCAGTGGGTTTCTCAATGGCAAACGTTCGAACGACAATGAAAACGTCTGACATTCATTTCGTTAATAAAGAGAACAATAAATTCTCACCACTACTTGAATATCAAACCACACTTACCTGCACATGTCTTTCCATTTCCAACATAGCCTGGTTTACACGTACATTGGTATTCGCCAGGACCGGTATCTGTGCAGGTTGCTAATGTCGGATGACAGTCGTCGTTTTCACCACCACAGATTGGTGGCTCTAAAAAACACAAGAATTAAAATACCCGAACTACACATGGACACAGAATAGGAAGTTATACCAGAAGCGTAACTCGAGCAAATATTTGTCCGCGTTTTTACAAGCGATTCGTCATCAATCACGCCATCCTGGCTAGTACAACCGGCACTTTGTACCTACCAAATCCTGATAAAAACTTCCGGCTGTACTAGCCAGGATGATGGCGTGGCCTGACGTGAGCGAGTTAAAATTTTCGTGGACGTCAAACAATAAAGGAAACGACTAGAGTTACGCTTCTGGTATAACTTCCTATTCTGTGACATGGACGACTTTTGATATCTCACTTGATATGACACAACACTATTAATATAGATTTTCATCTGTAAACGAACATTTTCAAACGGGAAAACTATATAATTATGCATATTTAGAACAACCGTCATGTGCATGCATGTTTAGTTGCAGTTTATTTTTTACTTCGCGACCTTGCTTGGTTCCTCTCCAATTTATATGTTAATTGTAGTGTTGTGATAATATACTGTACAAATTACAGTACCTGGACAAAACCTTCTGACGAAGGCATTCACTTGATTAATTAAATCAGTGTAACTGTCGGGAAAAATTGCGTTTTGCGAAACCTGCACCATAGCACGGATTTCACCCCTGGCTTCTTGATCATCCTCTAGTCCTACACCGACTGCAAATACTTCCATATCTCTTTCAAAGAAAGGTAAAATAGCCTGACTAACGGGAACGTAACTTCCTCCTTTTGTTTGGCCACCATCCGTAATTACCATGAGCATACGTTTTACGTCATCATCATCTTCACGATATCCAGCTGATGTTTGAGCCACCTCAGTGTCAGCTAGATTCAAACCTAAATCAGTTTTGGTGCGACCACCTAGAAGAGGGCCTGGAAGATTGTCTACTGCGTCATCAAATGTCCCCGCTATTCGACTGCCTTGTAAATTAATTCGAACCGTAGCTTCTTCACTAAAGGTGACCATAGCTCCTTGACCAATTATTTCACCGTCATCATTTTCTACACCTATTTGCAGTTTATCTGAAACAACTTTTAAGAATCTTTTCATTTGGCCGTAATCATCGGGATTGATGCTCCCTGATCTGTCCAGTACAAAGATGATGTCAGTTTTCTTTTGGCATTTCCAATCTAGAAAAGGGGAATGATTTGAGATAAAAATGTAATTGAAATTAGGTTCTGTGTTGGTGTAATGTACTCAGGTGAATATGATGCTTGTGATGTTACTCTGAGTGTATATCCACACCGGGCAAGCTTGAAAAATATGCCCGGCCATGGTGGGAATCGAACCTACGACCTTTGGAATACTAGCCCAATGCTCTGCCAACTGAGCTACGCGGTCAGGTCGGTTCGAGTATATGATACCATAGACAATCCAGAAGACAGGGACTGGAAACGCCTAATGTTTTACGCGCGTCATCCGTGATGCGGCCAGCTGCAGATCTTGCGGGCTCATTTAAACAAAAATTCAAAATTTTTCGAAACTTTTTTCACAAAATATTTCAAGAGTTGTTTTATATAGCTGTTCGATCATGATATATCTATGATTGGAAAGCATTTTACTCAAGAGATGGAACTAATGGAAGAAGCAATTGATGTGGGATTATATACAGCAGGTAGTTTATTAGTTTACAGTCCATTGTTTGGTCAAAATTTAAAGACAGGCTATTCATTTTAGGTATGATTTTACACCTTTCCGGCCTTTTCCAGTTTGTTGCTTAGTTTTCGTTTCGTACTTTCAGCCTTTTTCATCACTTCAAACTGCTGCTTTCTCAATCTCGAAAAGACGAAAATCCTTTTTTGTATGGCATCTATCAGTAAAAAATTTTATTAAACAGTTCATTATTAACATTGGCGATTTTTAGCTTAAATAATGTCAAATGACATAATGACTGAAAGAAGTTTTGAAGGTGACAAGTGCACATGCCTTCAAACTATATATAAGATGATGTTGTGAAACTTGTTTAATTTTAAAAGTTTATGTAGTACATACTACGGGGTTTCAAGTATAAGTGCATATTACAGTGTTGTATTATATTAAAATAAAGGCACATACAACGAGAACAACAATGCCAATGGCGACATTTTTTAGTCAAAAATTCTACGCACGAAGTTAATGGTGATTTTCAGCTTTATTAAAGCAAAAAGAACATTGAAAAAGCAACAAATGCACAGCCCATTTTTTTCTGGTTCAAAATATAAAAAAAATCTTGCTTTGACTATCACTTAAAGTGAAGTTATAGGGTTCCAACTATAGGCACATACTACGAGAACAACAATGCCAATGGCGACATTTTTTAGTCAAAAATACTACGCACGAAGTTAATGGTGATTTTCAGCTTTATTAAAGCAAAAAGAACAATGAAAAAGCAATAAGTGCACAGCCCATTGTTTTCTGGTTCAAAATATATAAAAAAAATGATGCTTCTGAAATCGCTAAAAGTGAAGTTATAGCCGGTTCCTACTATGCGCACACTACAAGAACAACAATGGCGACATTCTTTAGTTAAAAATAAAAATACTACGCACGAAGTTAATAGTGATTTTAAGCTTCATTAAAGGAAAAAATAGTGGGAAAAAGCGATAAATGCACCGACCGTATTATTTTCCTTTAAACCATCTACATAAAATGTCACAAAGTGAGGGTACAGTATGTTGTCCAATTTTCGGACAGTACCACTATTCAGACGAAATATATTTATCGCCAAATTGTTTTATGAAGAATAGCAAAAAAATAAAAATCAATACGTTCAGATGATTGCCCGATATGTCCTGAATTTTGCTCTATATTTTCGACGTTTTTGCTGTTGTTTTGTGCAAACGTGAACACTTCGAGTAAAGGTCAGTCGAAAATATTTTCTTAAAAATGGCGTAGTTCACGACAGCGCGATAAGACCATTGAACTATAAATAAACTGGAAGGCTAACTCAGGGGGGGAAATTGAAGACAGTGTATTTTAGTTTTTCTGAGTTATGAGCAGAAATACTCAACACTGAACGTTGGGCGATATATCAAATTGAAGCTATTGAAAAACGCTATTTGGTGTAGAAATTTCAAGACTTTAGCTAAAAGGGAAATATTGAAAAACTACAAACATAATTACCGATAATTTGCCGTTTTGCAGTTGTTTTTGTATTTTTTAAATATTTCTCTTTTCGCTGAAGTCTTGAAATTTCCACATCGAATAGCAATTTTTAATAGCTTCAATTTGATATAAAGCACGACGTTTGGGGTCAAGTATTTCTGCTCATAACTCAGAAAAACTATTTTGGCTTCATCAAATCATAGGCCTTCATCATAGCAGTTAGCCTTCCAGTTTATTTATAGTTCAATGGATAAGACAAGTACACTTCAGGAGATGTTCTGTGAAAATATACTGCCGAATGATTATTTTTTAGTTGAAGGGATGGTTATATAAACCGAAAATTTTACCACAACAATAATTTTTGCTACTGTCATAAAATTTAAGAAGTTTCGGACATTTAAATTAAGAAACAATTTTTGAGGAGCTTATCAATACTCGGACGATGGCTTAGAGTTGACAATCTTATGACTAAAATAACGAGTATATTTAACAGAATTATATATTTGAAATGTTTAAAGAGGGTACAAGTTGTTTATGTTTTGATAAACTTTCGATTTCGATAATTTTGTTGACTTTAGTTCAATGCGAGTTCTGATATTATTATGTGAATCTATCCACCGGGAATTGTATATATCTTAAAGTGAGCTTTAGTTGCGAGTAACCTGACTGAAATTTCATACTAGAATATGGTTCAAAGAATCATGACATTTATTTCTATAACATAATCAAGCCTTAAATTCCAGTATTTATCAAAATACAGCTTACCTTCGAGAGAAAAACGGCTATTATTATAAGTGTCCGAATAGCGGACCAGATGTCCGAAATGTGGTGATGAAAATGAAGTACTTGTTTTCGATATTGCAGAAAAAATAAAGAATTTTAGCGATGTATCTCTTAGAGTAATGTAGCCATGGGAAGTGGTCGTCATCTGTACAAATTTGAACCTGCTAACCATCTTAAATCGCAAAATATAGTGTGAAAACACTTTACTGTCCGAAAATTGGACAACATACTGTATAGACATAGCCATCAATTTTGTAGTCACTGTGAAAAAAGCTTGTTTATGCTAGTTGTAACTGCTCTAATGCACCCTCGATTCATTTTAGATGATAATGGCATGTTTCAAATGGCAATTTGTAGCTTCATTCTCAAGTTATATGGTTCCCAGCAACTACCTAATTATACGTGCGACATTTTTGATTACATGCATGCTTCGACAAAACTGGAATTAAATTACCTCTATATAGAATTAAAATTAAAAATGAAAACATACTTACCTTGACAATAACTCGGTCTTAAAGGTAAACTAAAAATACAATATTTAAATGACCCTCTATCCACAAAATAAACAAAAATAACGCAGGATTCGCATCGTATTTTTCTGAAAAAAAGACCACGGTTGCATGGCAACTCCATGCATTGACGTGCTTAAAGCCATATCACGGATGGCACGTAGCATCATAGCCGCTTTCGCTTGCGTTTCCAGTCTCTGTCTTCTGGATTGTCTATGGTGATACTTCGGAACCGAGTCTAGTTCCTTCGATATCAATGTAATCTTGTAATCATGAATTTTTTCTGTGTTGGTGTAATGTACTCAGGTGAATATGATGCTTGTGATGTTACTCTGAGTGTATATCCACACCGGGCAAGCTTGAAAAATATGCCCGGCCACGTGGGAATCGAACCTACGACTAGCCCATTAGGTAAGATATCACCAGTTTTGATTTGAAATCATTGCTGAAATAATAGCCAGTTGCTTATTATGGACGAAATGTTAATGTGCAGGTTGGGCATATGCATTCTTGTCGGAGTAAGACATGATGTGCAATCGAGAGAACTTGGCTGCATGCTAGCCCAATAACAACATATGCTGAATTAATACATACTTGCCGAATTAGCTGGCTACCAATGAAATGAATGAATACTGCATTATGTAAAATGGACTACATGCAGGGTAATTCCATGGTGACTCATGTTACATTCTGAACAAAACTATCAGAGTAATTTTGATCTGGTGTAATAACTAATATATTTTTTTCTGTCACATTTTTGCATGCAAGTGCAAATAATGGTAAGCTCCTGATTCACAGTACAAATTAAACATTTGATTATAACATGATAAGATTGGTGGCCGTAAATTGGTGTGTGACTCATGTTACAACAAAGTGACATGAGGTAACACCAACCTAACTAACTTAACTATTTTTGAATTTCTTTGGGAACCATAGGAAAGAGAAACATACAATGTCTATCAAGTTACAGTCATAATTAATCAAAGGCTGTTGAGGCCGATTCACGGAAGAGATCAAATGAAAGTGACCAAAATAATTAAAGCAGTTTGCAGCAGGGCCTTTATTAAGGATTTTCCCGTGGGGGGGGGGCATTTTTTGAAAAGCCACGCATGAATGGGGGGTGGCTGGGGGAGTACTCCCCCAGACAATTTTTGAAATTTGAATCCCGGAAATGTCATTTCCTGCATTCTGAGCATCCAAATTTATACTTGTATTTGAAACAAATAAAGGAAAAAACGCACAAAAAGTAAAACAAAATTAACCATCATTTATCATTACTTATTAGAGGAGGATGGCAATGGTCAGGTGTGTGGGGGTGTACTCCCCCAGAAAATTTTTGAAATTTGAAGCCCGGAAATGCTATTTCCTGCATTCTGAGCATCCAAAAAATAAAAAAATTATTAACAATAATTTATCATTACTTAGTGGTAGAAAAAAGTAACAATTTAAATCGATTTTGTTAAACAAGGACAAAGGATAAAGCCTAAAACTTACTTTCCATTTATGTATTTGTTAATCTTCGCTGGTTTGTTTCAATAATTTTAGGGAAAAGGGACTTTTCCTGGGGGGGGGGCAAAATGTGATTTCGTGGGGGGGGGCACAAGGGGGAATGGGGGGGGGCATGTTAAAAAAGGCCCTGGTTTGCAGTTGTTTTTGCAAACGAGCACCGTGTAAATTTTGCCATTTGTCTTGCCCGATCGATTCGCAGGCAAAGAGTGCGCGCCAAGCAGGCTGGTCATTTCTCATTGTTTAACTG